TAATCACAACATGGCTTTCCCCACAAAAACAAAACAAAACAAAAAAGCAACTTTTGGATATGTTATACCTGTTGATTTTCTCTATATACTGTCAACCTCTTGAGGACAGCACTTAGCACAGGGAAGGTGGAGAGAAGAGAGGAAGGGGGAGGGAGGAGAGGGAAGGAGAGAGGAGGGAGGAGAGAAGGAGAAGGAAAGAAAGGCCATTTATCAGGTGCTTACTGTGGGCCACCTGCTGTGCACTGAGTGTCGGGACACAGACTTCTGGCAATAACTCGCTATAATCAAGACTGAAGATGATACACTGGAGAGGGCCACAGAGCCAGGACTGAAGCCTCAGCCCCAGCCCTTTCTGGCTGCGTGACCAGAGCTACTTACATGGCCTCTCTGAAGTTCAGATTCTCGGTCGGTAAAATGTAGGTGATGATGTGCACCCACCTTCCTTCACAAGGCTCACCTGGAGGGGGGTGTGTGTGTGTGTGAGTGTGTGTGTGTGTGTGTGTGTGTGTGTGTGTGTGTTTACAAAACAAATCAATGTGAACGAGCGCGAAGGCCAAGCATGGTCAGAAAAAACAAAACAAGCAGGTGGTTGCTTTGCTTTGATTTCCCAAAGCTCTGACCCAGACAAAGCTCCTGAACCGGTCAGAGAACAAGATCGTCCAGAGCCGAGAAGCAGACACTGGATTGGGCTGGGGACCAAGACCACCACAAGCTTGGTGCCCAAGACAAATCACTCCCGAAGTCCTTCCAAGTGAGCCCGTGGGTGCTGCTCCTCCCACCCTCTGGGATGCAGCCACACTGGCCTCCTCTCTGGTCCTCACACAGTGCCCCATGCCAGGGGCGCTCTCCCTTCTCGCCTTGTCCTCCCTCATTCTCCAAGCCTCAGCCTAGGACCACCTTGGATATGCCTCTGCTCACTCCCTCTGAAGCAGCCTCATGTCTCCCTAACTCCTGTTGCCTTCCCGTTAGATGGAAGCCCTTGGCAAGCAGGGACAGCTCCCTTCACTGGACCCGTATGCCCAGCACCTAGGACAGCACCTGGAGGGCGGCCACCAGCTCACCTGGAAGAAGGGGACAAGAACATCTGTGTCCCTAACTTTGCCGTGTGGCTGTGAGGACAGAATGAGCTAATGGAGGAAGGATTCTAAGGCTACTGTGTGCCAGGAACTGTGCCGAGCATTTAGACTATTATTATCATTGCTGTCATCAGGGATCATGTAGATTTACTTACAACAAAAACAAGAAATCTGCTTTCCAGAAATACGTAACAGACGAGAGCTGGCATTTGATTCAACATGCAGGCATAAATAAACATGTATAAACGTAACATGGTCTTCTTAGGAGGCCTACATATCCCATTATCAAAAATATTCATACACTTTCCAACTCTGTAGTAAAAGTCAACATTCAGTTTTTGTAAAGTAACGCCACACAAAGTAGTTTGCTAGTCGGGCCCTTCCTATACCCCTCCTTCCAACCCAAACAAAGTCAGCTGCCGCCTCTGTGACTGTTCCCTTCCACAGGCACACCTGGCATGCACATCCCCTCCCTCTCCACCAGCTCAAATACCGACCCTCCACTGAGGCCTTCCCTTCCCTACCCAGTCAGGGGACACTGGACCCTGCTCTGATTTCTCCAGGCAGTTTGTTCCTCTTTGCATGATTTAGGCTATTTCACCTTGTCTCAGTCATTTCTATACATTTCTTCACTCTGCCTGTTAAACTGTAAGCTCCAGGGTGAGGCCTATGGTCCTCACACTTCCCACAGCCTGCAGGAAAGGGCTTTGCCCACCTCCATCACTGGGTGCGTCTTCAATGTACCTCTCGGCCCACAGAGAACACACTATCAGCAGCCAGCACTGGGAAGCTGTGCCCCTTCACGAAAGGTACTTTGGGGGCTTCCTTGCCAAGCCAGACTACTCACGCCTCTACCTTCTGTGACGCAGAATCACGAAAAGCTCAACTATAAACTGGAGTCAATCTGCTTCTAAACAGATCTCTGAAAACATATCCTAAGGAAATTAACCCACTCCAGCTAAGCAGCCATGGCTTTTACCATCTCTCACTGTGCACAATGGGTGGGAGTTTGGAGGACAGCGGGCAGGAGGGGCAAAGGGATGACCACTCCTGAAAAGCCCAAAGAACAATTTTCACAAAGTCCACCAGAGAAACAGTAAGTTAGGAAAAACACGGAGTTCCAATATCACCAGTAAGTCTGATACTCAAACTATAGAGGGAACAGACACAATCAGAACATTAAGAGTCATTCACGGGGGTGGGGCATCTAGGTGGCACAGTGGATAGAGCCCCGGCCCTGAAGTCAGGAGGACCTGAGTTCAAATCCGGGTTCATACCAAACACTTGACACTTACTAGATGTGTGACCCTGGGCATGTCACTTAAGCCCAATTGCCTATAAATAAATAAATAAATAAATGAAATTAAAAAAAAAAAAAGAGTCATTCGCGGGGCAGCTAGGTAGTAGCACAGTGAAGGGCAGCCAGGTGGTGCAGTGGACAGAGCACCACTCCGGGAGTCATGAGAACCTGAGTTCAAACCAAGCCTCAGACACATGATATTCACTAGCTCTGTGACCCTGTGCAAGTCACTAACCCCCCTGCCTAGCCAAAAAAAGAAACTCAAGAGTCATTCGCCATGAATAAGCGGTCAAGGGATAGGAATGGTTTTTGAAAGAACCGCAAACTACATACGCCTCATGAAAATATGCTCCAAATCACTAATTTTAAGAAAAATGCAAATTGCGACAATTCCGAAGTTGCAAAGATGCCCAAACAAGGAATGATGAAGGCCGAAGGGGCCGCTCACACCACTGAGCCAGGAACCGGCACAACCACCTGGAGACGACCCCGCCGGCTCTGCAGGAGAACAGGGAGCGAGCGGGGTACTGAGACTGTGTGCATCAATAAAACATTTCTTAAAAGACTATCAAAGTTTAACTTCATCAATAATGTAAAGACACCTGGACTTGGTGATTCCATAGAAAGAGGGGAGACCGTCTAATTCAGCAAAAGCCCTCAGACCTCGAGCAGCGTCCTGCATACCAAGCAGCCCTCAGTGTCCCAGCAAGTGCAAAAATCACGGACGCAGCTCTGGGAAGCCAATCAGGAAGGGAGCTATCAACACGCGGGGGGGGGTCAGGCAGCCACAAGACACAAACGCATCAGACCGGGGCCCCAGCTGCTGAGTCAGCAGGTAAACCTGGGAAAGAGGCGTTAATGAAATGATCTTTGAGGACAATGATGGGGAGAGGCCTCCTTCCAACAAGGAATGACACTGACTAGTCCCCGCCCCTCCCTGGGCCTCAGTTTCCTCCTCTGTAAAACGTCCCTCCCCACTCCAGGGCTGTGAGTCCTGAGTCACTGTGCTCACCTGTCCGACAGAGACAGGCATGACAGCCTGAAAGGTCCCGTCAGGCTCCAAGTCTATGACGCTACCAAGTCATCCCAAGTCCTCTGTAGGAGAATCAGAGCCACCCTGCGAAGTCCATGAGCATGCTCCAAGATGTCATGCTCAACAACGGGCCTGAACTCTACTCTCCAGCCAGCCTGGAACCGTCACCCCAGCCGAGGGGGAGCCACATAGCAGAGTCTTGGTTCCAGGATGGACACAGAAGAAAAGGGTGGGGAACAGGCCAGTCCGAACCTACGAGAGGCAGCCTCGCTGCTGTGGGCTTGGTCATGTGGCCGACGTACTTGCGTCCCTGGGGACGTGGGGGCTGTGAAGATGCCCCTCACTGTAAGGGGAACTGAAGACCCCAGCGGCTCCCGTGACCTACAACACATGCAGAAGTACAGGGTCCCGAATCACAAACTGGGCCGGAAGCCAAAGAAATGCAACTAGAGAAAAGTGGGGCCCCTGCTTCAGGGGGTCGCTGGCCAGCGTGAGCAGAAGGGAGAAAGGCGTTCAGGGACGGACCGATCTCTGGCCTTTCGTCAAGGCCAGCCTACCCAGCAGAGCTCCATGGAGAGATGACGCACTACGCCAATGAATCAAGGTGCTAGCAGGTCATTGTTGGACTTAGGAGTTTCCCAATAAAATGTACATTGTTCTGTGCAACTTTCCAAACCCCAACTCTTGAGGGAGGCAGGAAAAGCTTAATTTTTTTTTAAATGTCATTTTATTTAGAAGTAGGGACAGCCATTTCCTCTTAATGAAAAAATCAGCCAATACATAAATTATGGGAACACCTCGGATAGGAAAATCCCACCATTTGCCCAAAAAGGTTAGTTTAATGAAATGCTCTAAATTATTTGACCACTAAGTCCTGTTTTATTGTAAACAATGAATTCTGGGAGAAGCAGCCTGGCACAGTGTGACGAGCATCAGCTCTGGAGCTGTCTGTGACCTCTGTCAGTCACCTGATGACCCCAGGCCCCAGTTCTTCATCTACAAAAGGAGGATCGTGGACTTCCTAACTTCTAAGGTCCCTCTTAGCTCTAAACTGCGTGATCTAGAGGCTGATAATTAGTTATCAGCAGTCAAAACTAAGAAAAGAAAAGAAAGGAAAGGAGGAAGGGTGGGAGGAAGGGGGGGAGGAGGGAAGGAAGGAGGAAGGAAGGCAGGAAGGGAGGGAGTTCATTGAAGTATTTTTTCAAATGCCTAGATGAGAAATGAAAGAATTCAAAAGGAAATGAAGACAAGCAGAACAGGTCTGAAAGTAGCAGGACAAATGTTTTGTATATTTTTAAGTTAAACTATACATAGCTTGAGATTTTGTATTTTCACACACAATTCTCTCGTTCTGTTCTACTTTGTATATGGAAATGTTCTTTCTTTTTTGGTTTTTGTTCATTCAGAATTAAGAGTTTGTTGAGCAGATGTAAAGCTCTCTGTCCCCCTTCCTGGTGGGTTTTCGAGCATTTCTTTGGCGCCACTAACCCCAGAGTTTTATAAAGGGCCTGCTGGGATACCGGCTCAGAGCCTGGTATGTGGGACAAACAGAAATGCCGCACACTGCCCATCAACTCAAACCGTCTCCTACCTCATAGGTAACTCTCTTCCTTCCGTCTTCGCCCATCTGCGGCAAGGTCAAGGGTCCAGAGACGATCCAAACATCATCAAACCTCTCCGTTAACTCTCGACAATACATTTCAATTCTGCAAAGAGAAGAATCAACAGCAGCAGCCGTCACTGGTGTGAACATGGAGGAAGTAAGCCACATCCAGCAGATGGGAATGCTCAGCTATCACCATGAACTGATCCGTGGCAATTCTCAGAAATGGGCATCCACGTGACTAATAAAGTTACTCCTTCAATCTCAAGTACAAAGACAGAACAGAAACAGCCGCCGCTGTCTGGGAAGCTACCTTAGGTGAGACACAGCCGAAGAAGAAAGGGGGCCAGCGCAGAGCCCAGGAGTTCCCCCAGAAGGGTCCTCAACAGCAGGGTCAAAGCCAAGGAGGGAAATGTGCTCAGGAGGAGGGGGTGGTCAGCAGAGGCGGACAAGGCCTCTGGATCGGTGGCTGAGCGGACCTCAGAGAACCCTGCAGAAAGCCCTCCTGAGAGAAGAGGCAGGGAGTCCCCTGCAAGGGAGGAGAAGTGAGTTAGAAGAAGGCCCGAGCGGAGAGACTTTTCTAGGTGTCCAACTGTAAAAGGGAGGGGAGCCATAAACTACTGCTTGAAAGATGATAAAGTCAAAAGAAGGTAAGGGAGACTTGGGCACATCTGCAGTCAGTGGGAAAGCAGAGAGGGAATGATTAAGAAATAGAGAGACAAAGGGGCCATTTGGATGTGACCAAAGGCATTAGTGGAGTGGTGGACCTTAGTAATAAGAAAGGCCATTTCTGCATCGGTCACCAGAACACAGCAGGATGAAATGAAGGGTAATCAAGCACGTCTTTGTACCTCGGTTTACCTATCTGAAAAATGGGAAGAGCCATTACAATGTTCACAACTAAGTTAAAATAGAGACAAACATTCTGATTGTATCTCATGGGATCACTCTTTCTTCCTGGGATAAAACAATGTAAGAGAAACAGTACCAGTCGGAAAACTTCCAACTCTCCCACGAAGCAGCAGTGACAAGTCACAAACTCTGGAGGCCCCAGTCTGCTCACGGGCAAAACATCGGCCCCCTGCCCCGCTGTGCCTTCTTCTGACCCCAGAGCAAACCCAGCATGTTCATCGTTTCTTCCTTCTGCAGCTCATAAGTATTTGGTGTCAGCCTTTCCAAGGACTTCTTTCTCCTAGTTTACAGAAGAAACCTCACTCTTCAAAGACAGCCTTTAATTTATCTGCTCTGCCTGGTAACACGGCCAGATGGCAGTAACGGGCTTTCCGTGAAGAGGCCCTAAACCTGAAGAGGACGATGCTCCTGCTGGAGAGAGACAGGGTAACAGAGGGGGTTGGAGAACTCGCTAACACCGCCAACCTGCACTTTGGGAGGCAGGCCAAACCAAGGTCAAATTCAGGAAAATCTTAATTTACATGTTCTGAGCTTCACATATAAAACATGAATATACTCTCATCTCTTTTAAAAAGAACAATTTGTAGGCCTCGCAGATATTTTCAAAATAACTACTTAGGTATGAACTTAACTTTTCTTCAGACGGACCCATCTGGAAGTTTCCTGCCTTTAAACCGCCTCTCCAGCAGGCTTTGAAGGGGGGTTCGTAACCTTGAGCCACAGAGAGATTTCAGGGGTCTGTGAACTTGGAAGAGAAGAGGATTCCATCTTTCCTTCCATGAGCTTCTAGCTGAAATTCAGCCTTCCCTTCGCTTTGAGAGGGAAGGGCCCAGAAGCTTGCCCAGAGCCTGCCCAAGGCGTCAATGACAGAAGAACCCCCAGGACCCACTTCGAAGGCTGGAGACTTCACTGACGGCTAGCTCGGCTGGACTTGCAGAGGCAGAGGAGAATCAGTTCTGCCAAAAGGGCCAGTCTAGAACCGACAAATCTTTCCAGAGCTAATTAATGCTTCTGTAAACAAAACTGATACTGTTTGTACAGACAATCAATTAGCCAGAGGCGTGATTATGATCTAGGCACCTAGCTTAGCAGTGGTGTGATTCATCCACAGGCTAGTGGGTGGTGATTCAGGGCTGTCCCTCCACACTTGAAAGGCCATTCACGGGGCCCAGGGGCCAAACAGTGATGGGTCCTTCCACAGCATTGCTGGAAAGCTTCTTCCATCAACAGAGCCAGCCTGCTGCAATCTAACACGGGGGCAACTTCTTCCTTCAGACCAGGCTCCCTCCCTCCAATAAGCCTCCCCAAATCACAAGGGGCTCTACCCTGACCCTCCCTGGTTCTGCATACAGTGATAAGGCACTGGAGTGTGGACTTAGGAGTCAGGAAGGCCTGAGTTCAAATCCTCCATCCAGCACTTACTAGGTGGGCCACCCTGGGCAAATGAACTAACCTTCCTGCATCAATTTTCCTCATCTGTAAAATGGGGGTGATAACAGCCCTTCTCTTAGAGGATTTGTGGTAACGATTAAATGAGATCATAACTGTAAAAGGCACTTAATTAGCATAGTACCAGGCCTGTGGAAGGCGATTTCCTAAGCCAACAGCCCGCTGCTGGATCCTGGCTGGGGAGTCAGAGGAAATACAAACAAGACGCCCCAAAATGTGAAGCCGTGCCCTGACCTTCCACTGCTACCAACTCACACCAGCTCAGGGGAGTAAAGGAGGTCCTTCTAAAATCTTCACACATCTACAAATTACTGCTGTTTAAAAACCAGCCCTCTGCCATTTGTGGACAGCTTGTTCCCACATACAAGATGCTGCCTGATGCCCACAAGAAACCTGGGGTAGGGAGCAGAGAGCAGAACTTCCATTTTAAAAAGGGCCACCTACAGGTGACTGAGGTCTGTCCAATGAGAACGGCTCACCGTCCTAGGGCCCTCCAAGGCATGAGTTTTCTCCACAAGAGCCCTCAGTAAAGGGGGACAACGACCCTAGCAAGCAGGGTGGGGGCCGATGCGGCTTGGGCACTCCAAGGGCAGGGCAGGGCACTCCAAAGAGGACGTCCCCTGGCCAGCAGAGTTGCCAGGGTCTTTCTCACTCTGTGGCCAACTCTCTATCCACTGCACCATACTGCCTCTCACTAGGCGAGAGGTGCACATTTTATTAGCCCCATTTCACACGTGAGGAAACTAAGGCCCAGAGAGGGTCAGCCAGCTAAGTCAACATCAGATATGAACCAGGTCTCTCTGGCCAAATCTGATACTCTTTCTGCTAATTATGTCACCCCCATGATCACCTATGGCCTTTGGTTTAATTCCTAATGAGATGGTGTCGCAGGTGCTTAAAACTTTCAGAAACCTCTATAAAGGATCAGTGTGAGAGAGTGGACACGGCACCAAGTTGGGGGAGTCCTTCCCAGAAGAGGTGAGACCTGAAGAATGGGCAGGACAGAGACAGCCAGTGGGGAGGAAGGGCAGGCCGGGCCAAAGGTGGAACACAGGCCCCACGTACAGGGACCGACAGGCAGTGCAGACGCTAGCCTGCAGCAGATGAAGGGGAAGGATGAGCCCCCCACCTTGGGGGGCTGTGGGAGGGAGGACAAGTCAGACTGTGGAGTCAAGCCAGAGTCTAGATGGGCCCCCAAGAGGCCCCGAGGAGGAGGGGGCTTGGATCCAGGACTCAGGGCAGCGGAGGGAGGGCCCTGGAAGGAAGCCTGGCCCAAACAGTAGCAAAGATACTGAGCCACATCTGTGGGCCCAAGTTTCCCAGTCTGGAAAACAAGAGGATTGTACCAGAAAACCTCTAAGACTCCTTCCAGCTCTGTCCTGAGGGACACAATTCAAGTGGCGACTATGAAGGATGAGTCTTACAGTGACAAACACACAGGATGGAATGGTGAAAGAGATGCTGCCGTCACCTTCCTTCTCATCCCAATCTCTCTTTTTCGACCCCACGCCTCTGAAAGCACAGGCAGCTCAGTCACACAAGGCGTCAATGCCATGGGGAGCCAGCCTCCCATGACCTGAACTGCAGGCTCCAGCTCTGGGGGCTCTGGGCCATGCTCAGAACCAAACCTCCGGGGCATCGAGCTGTAGACGGAGTCCTCCTCCCAATCCGCCCTGTTCCCGCCTCCACCTCAGGCGTGGGGCTGACTTTGATGCTGTCCTCATCTGCCTTGTGTGTTGGGCTTTCCCAAGGAGTCTGAGAGTTGGGGAACCACCTTTCCCCATGCTGCACCTGCTGTCCAAGCAGCAGGTGCTTAATAGTGACTAAAAAAGTCAAGGACTAAAAAGGAAACTCTGACTTATACATGGAAGACCAGGCATTTTCACAACCACATCATTGCTTTCCCATAAATTCCACTAGAAAAGTCACCTTTTGTGTTTTTCAGAGGATGCTGAACTTTAAATTTGTTATGACCAAGAAAATAATCTTAAAAAAAAAAAAACTGGCAGAGACATCGGACACGAGCCCTAAGAGAGCTGCTAAGGGTCCTTAGGACAGATCAGTCACTAGGGCTCGTCCTGCAGCTGTTTTTCAGTCGCCAAGATGGCGGGCATCAAGCCTTGGGAACAGGGGACGGCAGTCTGCCCTCATCAAACACAACCGCACCAAGTTCTTCACACTCACCTGTTCCAATAGCCAGCATTATTATCAAAGTTCTGAGGCACAATGTTCGAGAGGTAGAAGGTTTCCTGCATGGCTTCCTGTAGAGACAAGGGAGAAAAGCGGCCTTTAGGGGAATGCTCGTCTGGGTTGGCAGCCCCCAGCAGGTCCCATGGACGAGGCCAGCCGGGAGAAGCGACGGCATCCTGCTCGTTACCCACCCATCTAGCTGCCTTTCTAATACAGAAACTTATTCTCCATAAAGCTCCATTTGGCCCAGTAGCAGGGCGGGCTCTAGGGTTGGCAGATTATTGCCAAGTGACACACACAAACACTCCCTGTTGCTAGCCTACTGGCTGGGCCCCCCCCCAGACACAGACCCGGGGTCCCTTCCCCGGGAGAGACACAAGCCCTGCACCCTAACCTTCTCTGCATCACCCCCTCTGTCCATCACAGGGCCTTGCCCACAGAAACTCCCATGGATTTTCATCATTCAACACAGTCTAAGCATCCAAACGCAAAGTTAACCCTTCCACGAGAGCCTCCCTTCTGCTCGGTCAGGTGTGAGGACGAGCCAAGTGGTAAAAGGATCCCTTACACACTGCTGGGCTTTGGAAGCTTCTGGAAACCAACATATACAATGAAAATGCAAAACGAGTGTCCCTGATCTCGAGTTTCTCCTGCCATCATCACTCGCCAATCAAAGACCACCCCAACAAAGAAGGCCGAATCCACCGACTGCACGCTGCCCAGGGAGGGAGAGGAGGGCAGCGCTGGGATCTGAGAGAGCTGAAGTCTTCCCAAAACCACAAGTCTAGTCCAAAAGACACTCTCAGGGATCCTGGGGCCTCGATAATCAGAGGCCTCCCTCTGGCTCCCCAACATTCTCGCTCACCACTGTCTACCCCCAGAGTATTTACATCAGACAGCTCTGAGAAATGAAGCCATCCAAGAGCTTCAGAACCAAAAGTGAGACCCGCAGTCAGACAGCAGATGCAATTAGCGCGCCGGCCAAACAGCCAAGCCGCTGGTCAGAGAAAACTCAGCCGTTATTTCAGCTATTGGCAGGACTTAAGGGGTGGGAACCCCCTCACTGCCTTCCCCAGCTCCTCATCACACCCCCCTCCCCCATCCTCTACTGTGTCCAGAGCGCCTCATTTCTGACCCACGCGGCCTAGTTCAGCGTCTTGGCATTGGCTCAAAGTTCTAAAGGATAAGAGACGCTCAAACAGCCCCCGCTGACGTCCTCCTGCCAGCCCTGCTCTGCCCCCACTCCCAGCCGGCGCCAACTTAGAAAACCAGCTACTGTTGAGAATTTGTTATTTCCCGCCGGTGCCATGTGTCCCCGCGACCAGCCGCTCCCCAGGTAGTCCTCGTTGTCTGCGCTGAAGGCTGGCGGGATGCTGGGGTCTGGGCAGAATTTACAGTGTCTTCGGTCTGCATTGCCTAAAGAGCAACATACCCAAAAGTTAACACACCAGTGGTCAATCTTCAAAAAGAGCTCACAGGTAACTGCTCGTGCACAGACGTGCGCGCACGCGCGCGCACACACACACACACACACACACACACATGCTGGTGGCCAAGGTTTCTCTCTGAGCAGTTGCTATGTGGGGCTTCATGCATGCCCTGAAATCTCGGTGCCCACTCGGGGAGGCCACCCAGCACAGGCCCTGTCCACTTAACGGCCTGTCTGTTGTGGGCAGCAGGGCTGTCAGCGGCGCCCCCAAGGCCGCGTCCTCACAAGCGCAGCCACAGCATGGCAGTGTCCTCACTATCTTGCTTACCCCATGACTAAAGAAACGTTCAAGTTCCCATGAGTTCAACACCACCCCCCAAGGTCTTCCCCAGCCCCACCAGAAGAGCCACAGGGGCCCCCACTGTCCTTGACTGTAACAACACCCAAATCAAACAATTCAGGCTCTTCTTGGCAAAGGAGGAACCACATTTTGACCTATTTCTGGCAATGCCCCAGGAGTAATGAAGACTAATAAGATATTGTACATAATTCTCAGAACTCCGTTAAACCAGAAAAATTAACTGTGGAAAAGTGAACATTTGTCACCCTCTTCACAGACATCCATGCTGTTTGTCATTCAGTGTGGAGAGAGATCATTTCTAGGTAGGGTGGAGCAGCGGTTGGTGTGCTGGGAATCAGGAAGACCTGGGTTCAAATCCTACAACAGGAGGCAAATCAGCCAACCTCTTGGGCCTGGCGGCCTTTCCTGATCCATGCTGCGCCTCAAAAGCCCTTCGCGACCTCACAGCCAGAGCCCCTCCAGCCTGGCCAGTCTCTGACGCTTACTCCCTTCCATACAAGCGATGCCCCAGGTTCTCTGGCCTGACCGCTGCTTCGCACATGCCACGTTCCATCTCCAGCGTCTGTGCGTACGCATGCTGGGGCAGCGCTGGGCCTGGAAGCCTCTCGCTCCTCACTTCCCCCGGCCTCCCCAGCTTCCTTCAAGACTCAGCTCACATCTCACACCCCGAGCCAAGAACCCTCCCCAAGACTCCCTTCCCTGCACAGTGTAGACTGCAGCCTGGATGCAGTTATCTGCACAATGCCCCACCATTAGAAGGTGGGCTCCCTGAGGGCAGAGCCTCTGCCTGCACTGCATCCCCAGTACCTGGCCCTGGACCCAGCTTGACAAACACTTGCCAACTGACGTTCGCATGAGGAGGTTTTTGGGAAACTGACAGATACTAAATGCTAATTTTTCCAAAAGGGACTGGCTAGCAATCATTATCAAAACCAGTCAGCCAAGTTTATGAGACAATAGTTTTCTCCAATTAGTCGTGACAATTAGAAGAAAATTTCAACACTAGTGACGCAAATGTCTATTCAGTCAAGGATTAAGAGACAGCCCACACTTTTTCCTCCATATGGACCTAAAATCAGGACTCTCATTAGGGTACGCCTTGATCTTTTTCCATTTAAAGACAGCACTGTGCAAATTCAGGCACAGCCCACACCGATCCCTACTTTCAGGGGATGTGAAAACTCCAGGTAACAGCAACATCCTTGGCTGGCAAAGGGATTGTCGCTAGAGCAGTGTTTTTATTCAATTTATGAATATATACTGAACGTGTCTGTGTTCCCGTTAGGCATCTCACTGCACACAGTGAACAAACCCAAGGCAGTCTCTGTTTAGGGCTACCTCCCACTACAGAGGGAAGTGTGTCATCCAAGTCCATCGACCCCAGCGTGCACACTCACACAGCCCCGGACGGGACCCGACATGGTCCCCGAAAGAACCTGGCGAGCGAGCTCGCAAAGCCAGCATCCCTGCCATCTTCTCACCTCACGCCAGCAGCTCACCCTTTTTAACTGACTCCACTCGCCAACCTGTTCAGTCAATTGCGTACTGACACAGCGCTGCTGAGTTCACAGTATTTTATCAGAAAGTTTAATTTTTTAAAAATCCTAATTTTATAAAATCCCTAGAGTTAACTATGAATCTGGAAATGCATCACACAGACAATTCTATTAAGAGCATTACCTCACTTATCCAGAAGTGACAACCTCGATTGTTTGGACCAGGTGACAGGCTGAAAAGGCCTCTCAGTGGCCAACCTAAACACAGATCAAGATTTATGCACAGACCAGTCCCTCAGTTTACACACGACAATGAAGTCTGGCCGAACAACAGAGAAGCACAGCTCCTAGTGAGGGACGATAAAGGAAAAAGTGGAAGGGCCAACACAAACCCTGCACGAGGAGAGCAGCTGGTGGGCAGCGGAGGTGAAAGCAGCCCTCCCTCCACACCTGACGCACTACCCCGAATGTACTTACAAATACCTGACAAATCAGGAATAACAGCTACGTCTAACTTAG